TTCCATCAGTGTATTGCAACTAGGAAAAATCTGTATCTGACTTTACTTTCCAACTGCTCCCAGTTAGGTATGGATCTGAATTTCCAAATGGGGTCCAGCTAGAAATTATAGCTGTTTCCAACTAGGAATTTCAGCTGGGGGGGTTCAAAATCAAACTTATGGCAAATTACTTTAAATGATATACATAGCTAATACTTCAAGTAAAATATAATGGGTGCATTAAAAATTTGTTGCAGAGGTATCTGAAGGTCCATTGCCCTCATGTGTAACAACCTCATGCAGAGACATATTTTACAGGGAGGGGGCAGGGGGTGTGACTGCCCCTCCCCCCTGGCATCCCTGGGACAGAGCTTGGCACCCCTAATCTGCTGCTCTGTCTCCCCTGACTCTTCAGCCAAAATACACCACTGACCTCATGCTATGTTTTACTTACAACTATAAGACTTGTCTATGGATAGTCACCACATAAGAAACATGATGCCATTTGCCCATTGCACTTAATATTGCAATGCATGTAAAACATATTATACACCATACAATTGTTAATATATGAATACATGCATGGTGGTGTATGGCAAATATATGATCATACATGACCATATAGAATCATACACCCTGTCATATGTAGAATTTTCACATTGGTATATAGATAGTATATTATACTAAGCAGACTAAAATGTGCCAAAGTTGTATGTAACATGCTTTGGTAAAGACTATAAAATATAATAATAAATAGGAACCTCAGATGCAATGAACCTTGTGTATAATGGCAATATTTTCCTGGTTATTTCACTACATTATTACTAAGTTATACAACAAATATGCAGACAAATCATGCATCTTTTTCTTTAGGTGTATCTGTACTCATAGGCATGTGCCAGGTGTGTGCATACATGTCTGAGCAACATACTACTGAGTCCTCAGTAGCATGTTGCTCTTTTTATAATTATGTTCTCTATTTCAACTGCTTGAGAGCACTATGCTATGAACAGTTCCAGTCTGTTCTGTATGCTTCTCTCTTACAAAGGGAGACCTTGTTCATTTGGAGAATAACAACCAGTAATGTAATTCTGCTTCCTATTGATGTAGATTTCTTATCCTTGCTCTTCTTCTTTAGGGCTTTATGCATTCATGGCTCAGACTACACCATTTTTGTAATATTATGAATCAAGTTGAATATTATCTCTTATTCTTTGTTTAAGGTGCAAGGACAAATAATGTACTGGGCCGTGATATTGATGCTGAAGGGTCATTTTATCCGAAGTTCAACTGTGCCCAACTCCCAGCTCCGGTGCTTCATGTTGCCCTCTCTTGTGATGAACTGACCCTTTCAGTGGTAGTGGATGCTCCCAGTGGAAGCAGAGCATACCTCTTTGATACCCGTGCATTTCAAGATCAGGTATAGATTTTCCAGGTTGCTTTTGTATCTCATTGGACCATGTCTCTTGGTTCCAATCTTCTGATTTTCATTGCATTTCGATCACATTTGATCTCTGTTATTCTCAAATATATGCTTAGTCAGATGTATGCAATTTTTTAAAATGAACAATCAAATTGAATATTGTCTTAAATATTGTCTTAGAAGTAGCCAGGGAAGGAAATAGAGATTCAGTTATATCATTTATCAATTATTCTAAAAGATATTCTAAAAGTTTATCTCTTAATAGTTTAATATGTAAGTAGTAGCAGATGCAGGGGAGGTGGGGGCATGAGATGTTTATCCCCCCCATTGGCTTATATGGTTGGAAGATGCAATCTTATCTCTTGTTGTAAGAACTTCTGACAATTTTGACATTTCCAACTGGATTTCCATATCAGATAGCCCAAGGAGGGGCTCAGGTGCCTGGTGTCCTCCCCTCTGCATCTGCCACTGTACATTAGCTTACATTATTCAAAATCAAATAAGCCAAAACATCATGGACTAACAAAGGGTGAAGGCAAAGGACAAGTCTTTGTGGGTAATTGGTCATTGGCAGGCCAAAGTGACTGAAGGAAAAAATATTTATTACTCTCTTGGCTGGATACTTGCTCTGCTCCAAACTGGAATGATATCTTAGTGAGTGGTGACCATTGTCCAGTGTGACCATCTGTTGTTAAATAAAACACTTTGATAAGTTTGAACTGAAAGCATAATCTTATTGCAAAGTCATCAGCCCAAAAAGTGTTAGTTCAATGAGTCATTGGCTGAATATTATGTTATATGTTGAAGTAATGTTGCAAGTGGCTATAGAGAAAATAATAATAAAAATTGCATGATACTTCAGTAATTTTGATTCAAAGCCTCCTGCATCAGCACCTGGAATAGTCATGGGCCAATTTCAGTTCTTGCTTGTTGCTTTTGTCTCTGTTGAGTTATAAGTTTTGCATAATTAGCCCTATGTTTATGCCTGGTCTGATGCTGTCTGAGCATATTGAATTCTTGCAGATCTAAAAAAAAATGATTAATACTGGTATGGTGTATTTCATGTCTCTTTTTTTTTCTTGACTCCCAACACTCATATGGGAAGTGCAATATAGATGGATGTCACTGATGAATAGTTTGGCTGATTGACTGTACCAAGCCCAGGCAAAGTGCCAATGACATTAATTTTCATTTTTGTGCATTTAGACCCAAATGTAATTGAATATCATATGCTCATGAACTTGGAAGTAATTGTTGGCCTTTCTTATTTTAAGGAGTGTATATACTTATATAAATTGTGAATATGTGCTGAGGTAAAGGAAAACGTTGGAAAGGAATGTTTGCAAGTGAATTAATGTCAAGCTACAATATGTCCAAGAGCTCTTCTAGAATATTGTATAGTATGTCACTTATAGGACACCTTTTGAAGGTGCTGTTATTGAGCAACTGCAGCAAGGTTTGTGCACAATCTGTTGACTGTACTGTGACTTTGAAGATAAGGGTACATGTTGAGAAAGTCATTTGTACTTGGCCAGCATATTGAGAGGCCTACCCCGACACCATAGGATATGAACCTTTGTGGTTTTGTGTTCAGAATGAGGCTGTCTTATCTGTGAATATCTCTTTTTCTCACAGAATCCTCAGCCTTTCATGGAGATTCGTCTTGTGTCTGATGATATGACAAGATTAGCTGACCTTCAGTGGAATCCTGTAGATCATGATATGTTTGCCACTTGTCTTGAAGATGGTTCTGTTTCACTCTATCAGATCAAAGACACCAATTTCCAGCTGACCTCCCTCCCTCCTGCTCTCAGTGCTACTCTCAGGCCTGGGTAGGTCCTGTTAATTTTTTTTAGCAATAGCAACATGTTGGCCTGTCTTTCTGAACAGCACAAGATTTGCTCATCAATGAACACAATGCTTCCAATTATATTGACCATTCTCTAAAGCAACAAGTTTTTCATGTTGTTCAAACATTCCTAAAAGTAGGCTTTTATTTACCATTCCAATATGGATCCAATTGAGTATTGACTCATTGTTATTGACCATGAGGTAAATCTGCTCTTGAACTACTTTAAATAATAAGGTGCATGTGTTGGAGTCAGAGAGGAAAGCAACTTGCAGTTGGTTGTGGGAATGGCTCCATTGTGCAGTTGAAGCCAGATTTGCAAGTAGCTCGTGACATTCGAGTGCCTCCAATCAATAACGCAGCATTCAAATTTGTGGACCTGCTCTGGGTTTCAAATTTCATCTTCTGTGCTGCTGTTGTCAATCTCTCTGAAGGAGATAAGCGACTATGTGAGTAGAGGATTTTCACTTCTTACATTGATTTTACTTCCATTTCATACCCCTTTAATGTGGGTGAATGTAATTTTGTGGATTGTATTTTCTCATATTCATGATCTAAAGGTGGTATGAAATTAAAAAGTAATCACCAAGCATAACTCCTTTTGCAGGGTCTTGTAGCATAAGTGATGAGAACATCACTTGACCTTGCCTTGAGAGAGACCTTGCCTTGTCAGTAGTCCTTATTGGTTATTGAAAGACTTTTCTGGAATGCTGTTATTGTATAATGTCATTTTTCCATTCACCAATAGCGGTTGTGGTAATCATGGCTCCAAAAAGTGGCCCTGTGACTTGTACCAGTTATGAAGACATTTGCTATAGTACTGGTGTAGAGCGTCCTCTGCAGTACTTTCTTCATTACATCCATGAGTGGTAAGTCTGTTGCATCTCCAAAGCCTGTTTGAATATACTCAGGGGTTTTCTTTAAAAATTGTCTAACCTAATACTTTTTTTTATATCTAGTTTGAAAAACACGAAGAAACTTTCCTAATTGGGCTCATCCTTAGGTTGTAAATGTTTTTGTTTTTGTCAAAATATAAAATGTCATCTTTCACCAGGGGAATTGTTGTGGGAGCATCTGCCAATGCTACTGAAGTTGGTGTCATTGGTCTCAATGCTGAAAAGAATGTATGGGAACAGTGGTTCTTGGAGGACTCTGGAAGGGCTGAACTACCTCTTTCTGGCAGTATCGAAACCTTTCCTGTTGGTCTTGCTGTGGATAGAACATCTCAAAACCCCATGATTGTTGGTGAGTCTCATCAGTTCCAAATGCTCTTGGTCTCCTTTTATGGTGAAAAGCTGAGAAGAATTGGACTGGGTGATAAAATGTATTTTTGCCGTACAAGATGAATATTTTATTCCTTAGGAGAGAGCCAGAAACTTCCTCCCATGCCAGTACTACTTCTGCTGTCAACTGAAGGCATGTTGATACCTTTCCACATGGTGAATAAGATTCCTGACTCTCCTGTGCTTTCACAAGCAGTACAGCCCTTCCCAATGGGCATTCGCCTTTGCAGCATCTCTTTACCAAGGTATGTATCAGGCTTGGAGGGCAGGTTCCATGATACCAAGTGGTCATGAGCTTTTCATTCACCAGCAGGCAACCCACCCACTTTCATGGGGGGTGTTTGCTTAATGTGTTATAACACACATGCCACACTGTGTGCTATATTAAGGAGATATTGATGTAGTACACCTTCAAAATCACTTGCACCAGTCATGAGTGTAGGCAAATTGTATGCTGCCCGTAAAGCCTCCTTCAAGGTCATAGAGGGGCATCCCTGCATGAGAGACCATGATGCCTAGTGTGGAGTCTCTGCAAAAAAGGGATCTACTTTGTGTAGCTTAACCCTTTAGTGCCAGGGAAAGATATATTGTCATTTTAAGCCTACACATCAGCTGCATGGCACTAAAAGGGTTAATGTGTCCACTGTTGTATGTATCTGCTGCTTGTTACATACACATCAAGTGGTTCTCACTTTTTTATTTTTTCATGAAGTAGCCAACCTCTACTGATGCCAGCACATGCATAACTTTAAAAATTCCTATAATACTCAGTTAAATAAGTTGATCAGAATTATGTATGCCATTCCCCACAATTACAAAGTGAAAATAGGAGTCAATATCTATTAGTGATTTTTATTATTAATTGTTTTCTATCCACAGTTGCCATAGTAACATGTGTGGGTGGTTACCACATAAGCCTCCATGTTATTGTATAAGCATCACAGATAATATTTGAGTGGTAGGATCCGCTTATAAAGCGATGTCTGTTGTGACCAGTGGGATGGCAAATCTAAATTTGGGCTGGTACTTCAGTTTAGGTCTTAAAAATACTCCTAACAAAATTTCAGATAGTCTCTCTGTTGTGTTTGTGTTTGTTAGGGTAAAAATGGAAGTTTTAAATCCACAGTGGCCCTAAGTCTTGACAATTCAATCTCAGGCCAAGTCTTGGAGAACAGATGCTGCTGCAAGCAAAACCAGAGAGCTCATTCAGTCCTGCTGGTTCCGGCAAGCCCAGTCCATCTATGTTTCCTTCTACACCCAAAACAACTATGTTCTCCTCGGGTCTCGCTGCAACAACTGCCTCAACTACATCTGCACCAGGAGTTATGTTTACTCCTGGAAGTAGTTCTCCATTCACAGCAGCATCAGGCTTCTCTAGTTTCTCCATCCCAGGCTCTGCTGTAAGTAGAAATGTGATGGCACAGACACAAGAATCGGGTGTCTAATAGCAGACATCAAGGGTATTGCTTAGGTAAAGAGCCCCAGGAATGTGATGTGGGTGCAACATTGCCTAGACATATGAATCAAGCTTGACCATTTTATGCAGTCCCAATTCGCCATACTCATATGTCATGTTTCAGAATGACTTCATGAGTATGGTGCTTGGAGGTTGTTTTCTGATCAATATTCTGCTATCGTGTGACAAAATCTCAATATTGTAGTGATACTGCTGTAAAGGTGAACTCAAGTCAACCTGCACATTAGTTTATCTTCCTTCCCAGGATATTTTCCCTTGGAGTGTGAATGAGTCATGAGAACAATTCACTGACCAATCAGATGAACACATAAGGATGTTTCTTGGTGTTCTGCATCTCAAGGAACAAGGCAGAATTTAGATCATTTTTCAGAATTAAGATAAATTGACTGAATATCCTGGAAAGGACAATCCAACAACTGTAATATCTGCCATGTTTTAAATTTTAATTATAAATAAGTTTAAGTAACTCTCCACCAATCTGACATCTTAGAAATGCAGGTTCTCCAACTAATTTGAAAACACTTCTTTTACTATGGTACTTTGGTTCCAGGATGCTCCTATTTTCTTATAGGAAGAACCAGTATCATGCTTTAGAGTCTGCCTAATGCTTGTACACTGGTGGACAAAATTAAGGTAACAATCACAAAAACCAGAATAACGTCTTTATTCTGTGGGTTATATCTATGAAAATTTGTACAGAGATACGATTTATCATTACCGATAAGTGTATAAAAAAGGAGGAACTTTGGACTGGTAATAACAGAGTCATGATAATTACATCATGGAACGAAAAATTACATGTTGCAACAGACATACTTAGAAGAAGACAATAGCTGCCATCCTTTTATAGGCTTAATTAATTTGCATGTTGCAATGCACGTAGATCAATTTCGATTGGATATTCAGAATTTGCATGTAAAAGTACATATAATAATGTATTTTCACATTCTAACTTTCTATTGTAATTAAAATATTGACAAAAAACGGTGTTACCTAAAAATTGTCCACCAGTGTAGTTAGCAGACCCCAGCATCATATCAATTCTGTGTCCACATTGCAGTAGCTTAAAAAAAAAAGCATCTAGCTGCAAATGACTCATAGAGATTCAGGGAATTCTGTCGCAATATAAAAAGTGCAATTTTGGCCTTTGATTTGTCCTGACAGAGTCAGTCTGCATTCATGAAGCTGAGCCCTGAACCACCAAAGTATCAGCCTCAACATACAGAGCCTGCAGCTGTGCCAGTGGCCTCAATTCAACCTCCTTCCTCACAAATGCAGCAGCCAACTGAACCAGCCATGACTCGAGCTGCAAGTGAAACTTCATCTCAGGGAGCAAAGGAAAAAGAGCAGAACATAGAAAATGCACTAACCTTGACTCATCTGAAGCAGGAGATCATGAACTTTGAGACTGACCTGCAAAGCCTCCATAAGAAAGTGTATCAACTTCATACAAATGTAAGGTTGTTGCCTGTCCTGAGAATATTAGACATAAAAAAAAAAAACTATTATCTGATTTTGCTTGCCGTCTGACCTTTACAGGTTGGGAGCAAACAAGAGATGTGTGATTTGAGAGAGGGAACTGATAGATTGGAGTTGGCTGTTAGAGGGGTGCATCAGAACTTTGAGAAGAAGACCAAAGAAAGGGAAGGCATTACATGCAACATCCTAGAAAGCTTTGCCATTATGGAAGAAGCAAAATCTCTTCAAACCCGTGTCCACGATGAGAGGTTATTTTGGACATTCAGAGAAATACTTTCAATGCAAAACAGCAGGTTTTAACTTATGCTTAATGCTGTATTTATTCTAGTTTCATGGTATTGCTGAGGAAGAGGTCCCTGGACCCTCTCTTGAATCGGCACATGAAGAGCATCCACCACTACTTGCAGTATGTGTGTCTTCAGTCAGCTGAAGTAGAACGCTACCTGGACATGGAATCAGAGACATCTGCTTATAGAAAGAGCAAGATGTAAGTTTCTTGTGTCCACTTTTCATTCTATTGGTTATGAACCAACTTTGGCAACCAGTTTTGGGCAATGAAAGATTTCAACTTGACAGCAACACTGATGAGTTGTGCCTGTTGGGTTTTTAAAAAAGGAGGATCTAGGCAACCCAAGATATGGATTAATAAAAATTTTGAGGACAATCACAAGGGCAAAGGGCATCTCATTCATTTGTTTTATGACAGCTCAGTAATTATATACAATTAGCATTTAAAAGTACCTGAAGACTGATTCCTCACATTTTACACAATTTTAGGCAAGTAGATGCTCCATGCACAGAAACCATCTACCGCATTCTGATCAACAACCGGAAGATCATTGCCAGCAAGAAGAGCCAACTGAGTTACCTGAGCAAGAGGATGGACAGTGCCAAGGCTTCCCACCAACGTTCATGGAAGCGAAGTGTAATCAAATCAGAAGCAGGATCTTATCTGTGAGTTCCCTCTGTTCCTTCTTCACTTGGAAGCTTGTAGAGGAATCAATCATTGCATCTAACTATGATGGTAAGGTTTCTTCCATCTTCAGCATCAGATTACCTAGTACTGTATTGTGTAGTCCATTGTTCAGGAACTCAGAGAGAGGGAAAAAGCTAAACATGTTATTCATGTCAAGGATTTCATCTTGAACCACATTTTGCTGTTCCCATGAGTACTGTTCTCATGTTTTTCTTTGCAGAGAAGATTTGTCAGAGTTGTCTGAAGCCTTGTTGCATACAGCAACTAAGACAAAGAAGGAAGCAGCAACTTCAATGACTGAATCAGACTTTTGGATGTCTCCCATGAAACAGTCTCAACTCAAAAAAATCCTTCATGATCGGGCTTCCAGAGTGCTGAAACTCTCATGTGACACAACCTCCCTGAAGCAGTCAAGAATAGTTGATTACTTGAAGCAGCAGGGAGTCATATCTGAAACAAAGCTGACAGAGGCAGGAGTGTTACAGTCCTCATTAGTGGCACAACCAATGAGGCAGCAACAAATGAATGATGGGCTGAAATCGATGACACCTGCTGTGATACCTCCATTGCATCCTAAACCTCGAGCAAGTATTTCAATTCCTGATCCAGTGAAATTCTCAGCAGCTCCCAAAACTTCAGCAGCAGGTGATGGGATTTTATTCACACCTGCTGCAAAGCCATCTTCCTTCACTCCTTCTCAGAAGATGGCAGAGGGACTTACTGTTGGGAAGAAGTCTGCCTCTGACACCCCAGCCAGCTTGGGGAAGATCATTTCTACTGTTCCATTAGCAGTTGCCACTCCTGTCTCAACACTTGCATCCCCTGCTGGACCTATTCCTTCAGCCCCAGTGGCATCTGCTGAAACTATCAAGATTTCTTTCATCCCAGCTCCTGGCACTTCCCAGTCAAATTTAAGATATGTGCTTGACAGTGGAACAGCACAGAATTATGTGCTCAAAATGGGAACAAACACAACCTCAGAAACTTCAGCCTCAGTAACAGCAGGTACAAGCTTGACTGACCATAGTGTCAAGTTTCCCTCTCCTTCTCTGAGGAATAAGATACCGCCCCAGTATGGTGATGCTATTTCCATCACACCCATTCCTAAGAAAGAAACAAAGGCTCCATTATTGGACACAGATAAGACCATGACATCATCTGGCAGTTCACCAGCAACATTTACCCTTCCAGGGTTGTCTCCCTCACCACCTGTCTTTTCTTCAAAGAGTATCAGCTCAGAGACTGTGAATCTCCCTTCTGCACAGATAGGAACTACTTTTGCATCACCTATCCCCAGTTCAGTACCAGTGCCAGCATCAACAGCCGCAAGTCCCATCATAGGCAGAACTGATAACACCACTGGTTCCAAGGTTTCAGGTATTCAGCAGACAAGCATCTTTGCTCCAGAGACATCTCACCCTGCATCGAGCAAAGCAGCTGAGGGAACGAGCAAATTTGCTTTCAGCATGAAATCTAATGCTTTTGGTGAAGAGGAACAAATTCCATCCTCCACAACAGGAACAGACACTTCCAGTATATCTGTTTCTTCAACACTTACCTCAGTAGCCTACACATCTTCAGCATCTATGCCATCAACTGAGACTTGTGGGGAGGCTGTGCCTAAAATGACCTCATTCTCCAAAATCACTGGGACAATCCAAGGTGGCATTCCTGCAAGTGACAGGGGTCAAAGCAGTCCCAAATCTGTGACCCCTTCTATTGCATTTGTTGCTCCAGAAACTGTACCATCATCTGTACCTGCAAATAGTGCATCTCTGTTTCGACTTGCAGCTACTAGCTTACCTACATCAGCAGCACCATCTTCCTCATCAGGTATTTTTGGTAGCACTACTTTATCTAGCTTTGGGACAGCATCATCTGCCACCAGCTCTGGACTATCTACCATGAGTACAGGTCCTGCAAGTGATATGTCTGAAACACCAAAGAGAGCATTTTCCTTCAAAGATCCCCTTTCAACTAGCACTTCAGCAAGTTCCAGTTCATTTCAGGGGCCCTTGACCTCCACTACTACTGCTGTGCCATTGGACAGTTCAGCCCCTGTGTTTCGTTCTTCTGCTACATCACCAAGTGCACCTATCTTTGGAAGTCAGGCAGCACAGTCTGCATTTATAACATCAGAAAGTCCCCTGTTTGGTAAATCTGGATCTCTGCCCAAAGCAACTGATACTTCATTGCTCAATTCAGGTTTTGGAAACTCAAGTACAAGTTCCAACTTAGTTGGGGTTGGTACTTCTACTGCCAATTCAGCATCTGTCTTTGGAGGCACACCAGTTACAAGTTCTACATCTGTCTTCAAGAGTACACCAGTTACAAGTTCTGTGCCTGTCTTTGGAAGCGCACCAGCTACTAGCTCAGCACCTGTCTTCGGCAGTACACCAGTTACAAGTTCTGTACCTGTCTTTGGGAGTACGCCAGTTACAAGTTCTGCACCCGTCTTTGGAAGTACGCCAGTTACAAGTTCTGCACCCGTCTTTGGAAGTACACCAGTTACAAGTTCTGCCCCTGTCTTCGGGAGCACACCAGTTACAAGTTCTGCACCTGTCTTTGGAAGTACACCAGTTACAAGTTCTGCACCTGTCTTTGGAAGTACACCAGTTACAAGTTCTGCACCTGTCTTTGGAAGTGTATCTGGAACAACTTCTGGGTCTGTCTTTGGAAGCAAGCAAGCATTCGGAAGCACCACTCCTACAACATCTGCACCTCTCTTTGGAGGAACTACTGCAGTTCCTGGGTCTGCCTTTGGAGGAACTGCCACAGCCATACCAGGTGCTGGATTCTCTACAATTTTTACACCCAGTACTTCTGGAGGAGCCTTTGGTACACCAACTACTTCTGCAACATCTGTAGGAGGGACATTTGGGTCTGGCTTTGCTGTTGGAGCCTTTGGAGGACTTGGTGGTAAACCAAGTGAAGACAAGGCCAAGCAAAATGTTTTTGGAGGTGGCTCATTTGGAACCAGTAGTACAACTCCAGGGATTTTTGGAAGTGGGAATTCTTCAGGCTTTCAACTAAGCACTCCTCCGAGCTCTTCTGGAGCCCCAGGATTTGGTAGTGGCAACTCTGCTAGTTCAAGTCAGTCCCCATTTGGGACTGCTGCTGCCAGCCAAAATATCTTTGGCCAGAGCAAAGCTGTATTTGGCAGCCCTCCAGCCTTTGGAACACAGTCAGGATTTGGAGCATTTGGTGCTTCAAGTAAACCTGGTGAGTGTGTTCTTTTGAATCCTCATAAAAACATATTGGGTGGCTTGCACAAAATTTTTCCAACTTGGCATGCCTACCAATAGGCACCAAAACAAGCAATGGCAGGAAATTTATTAGATGTTCCATCCAAAGTGCATTTTTGATTTCATGAAAATTTCAATGATATTGAATAAACCCATGGCACAGGCATCTTGCAATGCTCTGTGCCATCAGTGCCAAGTTTGTGAAAATTCCCTGCCAGTGAAAGGGTTAAGAAATCTGAGTAACAGCTTGTTTCCTGTCAATGTCAAAGCAACAAATGAATCAGTATGCGAAACCTGGATGCTTGCTCTGCTCCAGTCCAGCTGAGCAGGCAGAGAGACACTCACTCGTTTGACATTGTGCAGGAAAAAAGCAAGTGTAGGGGTTATATATGGATGATTTCATTGAAAATTTCCCAATACATGCATATGCTGTTGTGAGGCACTGTAAAATTCCTGCTGGTTTCTCACATGTTCATTTAAAACTGGTGTAACAACTTTTTTCTGCCACATTATCTAATTTGCATGTCAGCAGTTATCTACTCAACTAGACTGTGGTATGGTAAGTTCAAGTATGCAGGAAAATGCTAGGTAATTTTGAGCTTTCAAGGACTAATTAAATTGAACATTTGTGCAAAATTGGGAACATTTTATTTGGGCCACCTAGTTTTGTGTGCATTGGATAAAACACAAATGGGGATTTCATGAATGTCCACATGGGGTTTAACAAAATCTTTTGTAAGGATTGAAATGAGGCAACATTTGCTCTCATCTGATTTCCTGTACCAGTACCTGACATTGAATTTTCATTGATGTTCCTTCTATGTCACCAATGTTTATCCAATCCAATCAATCCATTTGAAATGTCTTCTTTACATGTTCCATAAATTGCTGGGAACTGCAGTCTTTGGAGGATCTCCTACTTTTGGCAGTTCACCTACTTTTGGTGGAACCCCTACCTTTGGTGGTGCCCCCACATTTGGAGCGAAGTCAAGTAAGTCAGGGGTTGTATGAGAGATATATATTAAGACTAATTTGAAAGCATGGAACACAGGAATGTCATCATTACCTTATGTCCTCTTTCAAATCTTTCAGTGAGAGTCATTCAGAATATCTTGGGAGATTATAAGCTTTTTCATGACTGCATTTTGTTTACTTTTCCTCCTGGTTAATGCATTTTCTATCAATGCTCAGAGATTTAAGTAACATTGGGACTTTTTTTTACTCTCACTACTCCTCATATATGGTCCATGAAGGCAATCATAAGTTCAAGTGTTTGACCTTGCACTTGGAGCAGGCATGGACACTGGTTCAACCTTTGGATCATTGGCTCAATCAACAAACATTCCAACATTTGGGAGTTTAGCCACATCACCTACTTCATCTTTTGGAACCATTCAACAGCAGCAGCCTGGATTTGGGGCTTTAGCAGTCAGTCAGAATGTTGGATTTGGGCAGTTGAGTCCTCAGAACCAGCAGCCTGTCTTTGGTCAGTCATCTTTTGGATCACAAGGTAGCTTTGGCCAATCCCCATCACCAGGATTTCAACAACAGCAACTGCAACCTGGCTTTCAACAACAGCAACTGCAACCTGGCTTTCAACAACAGCAACAGCAACCAGGCTTTCAACAACAGCAACAGCAACCAGGCTTTCAACAGCAACAGCAACCTGGCTTTGGATCCAGTTCAAACTCATCATTTGGGTGAGACATTCCTTCCTTTTGTTTCATTACAATGTCAATACATCATTTCATTATCATTAACCCCACAACCACAAGGTCCATTCATCCACACCAATTCAAACCCTTCCTTCCTCCATACTCTAGCTTCAAACAGAAGTCTCATTTCAAGATTTAACCCTGTAAATACCAGAACCTAAATGGTTAAATATTAAACTCTTTGTTTCACCTCTTCATTCCCAAAGATTATCTTCAAAATACTTTGCCTAAATGCAATCACATGTCTTAATGAAAATACACTCTTCAATTTTATGGTGCAGCCTGGATTAATAGCTAAACTTTTTTATCGGGGTCCATTGAACCCTGAATAGTAGTTACAGGTTGATAGTTGAAGCAAGATTTCATGTAACTACCTTTCGACAACCAAATTACATATAAGCAAATATTTTTGCCAATGGAGAAGTTCATGGAATTTTCCATCAAAATTCACTTGGAACTGTTTCCCTCATGAACACCCAAATCTGTTTCCTCCATACAGTCACAGATTCTATTGGGAATTGTGATGTGGTAGAGCTTAAGTTGTCTCTTATGTAGATGTCATGGAGGATATTATTTGAGGCTAAAAGCATATGACTCTTAGAAAACTAGTTCAAAAGTTGTTATAGCTGTTGTTTATTGGTGTGCCATTTTAAGCTTTCAGGCTTACATTGCTTACCCATGAGTTGTTTCTAAGGGATTAAATTACTTCAACTGACCAACAAGTTTGAGGGCAATTTGGATCATCCAAATAAGATTTATACTAGAGGATGTCTTGAATTAGTTTTATTATTTACTTGAATTTCTAAATTTTGTAAATGCTTTCTTTTCTACAGAGGGAGTGCCTTCTCAAGTTGGCGGTGAAATTGTTTTTTTTTTTATTGATACAAGACTCCCTCCCTCCCTCCCATTTCATATTTTTGAATTGGCAGTGAAGTTGATTGAGGTACATGACCTTTTCCCAAATCCCTTTTTTCCAGTCTTTGACTGGCTGTACTTTCATGGCAAATAAAACACGTCTCATTTCATAAGTCTGTTATTTGGCAGACTAGCCTTGAGAAGTTATGAGTACAAAAGGGAGTTTGACTGGAGGATTGGAGATTTTCTGGTAATGAGGAGTAGAGGGATACAACCCTTCTATCTCCCAATCACATGGGATGTTGCTCATGACTTTGGTATTGTGCTGAAACATAGTTACAAGACAGACATTACCCAGTAGCAGTGGTTCCCAAACAGGTGTGCTTTGAGGAGCAGAGGATGTAGCAATGACAAATTGGATAAAAATGGGCATTAAAAGGGGAGTTCAAAATCATGACTAGGGAATCTAGTAAATCACCTTCAATTCCAGCTGATTCTTTATTTGGCTTTGTGGCACAATCCTAAGTTACCTTGGGATGGAAAATAGAGCAAACTGGGTGGTTGGTAGGGAAAACATCATGCCAAGCTTTTGTCATAAAGGAAGTCCTAGCCATCAAGTTTGGGAACCATTGCCCTAAAGGTTTACACAATGTACCAAGGATATGGTCACATGGGGAAAGGAAGAACAATCATGTAGTGGCAAGTGTACAACAACTCCAATTGCACCTCAGATATAGAGGATTTTGATATGCAATAGATCATGCCGCAAAGGTTGTTTGAACTTGACAGATTATTCCTAAAACACACAGGAATGAGGTATGCTCAAAGAAAGCAGGAGCCTGAGTATGAAAAAGTAACATCCCTTTTCCAAAGATTTGCAGCATCCCTTTCAAATTAGTATCATGATCAGCCAAGGCACTTTACATGCTCATGAGACTGATAAGCATAAACTCATAAGAAATGCACATGGCATTGTTTGTTGTGCCAAAAGAGAAAATTGAGAACCTACACTTCTTCAAGATGTGAAATTTTGCTTGTTTTTGAAAGGAATAACAAAGCTGGGGAAACAGTATAGGCTGAAATAGTATACTGAATTTCACTCTCAAGCCCCATTTAAGGGAACAGCTCTGGTTAATTGCTATATGACCAGTATACCAGAAAGTGTCTGGTAGAATTAAAAGATGAGGTCATGAGATCAAACATTTCAATAAGCACTGCCAAAATAATGGACAAGTGCAGAATGTGGATATGCATCAATCTGAACCGAGCTAACATTTAATTTGAGTTGCTTGACTTTCAAAGAAAATAATAGGCCCTGCACTGCCAAAAAAAAAGGGAATTTGTAAGTTTTTCATCGGTTATATAGGGGCTTTATAGCTAGGGAATCCAGAAAAGGTAAGTAAATTCATGAACGTTCCAGCTGCCAAGTTAATTCCTACAAGTACATTGCCTCTGCATCACTTTTAGAAGGAAACAATGAAAGAAGATAATGTTAGAATAAAAAGCAAGAAGTCCCAATTTGAGGATCAAGCTCACAGGGAAGAAAAAAGGTAATATCACGTGGCAATGTTGCAATTGCCGCTCCGTCTTGTTTTTGTACCCTATTCACGTCAGACATCAGCGATCCAAATTTCTACTTCCAGAACTGTGTGAAGGCTTCCTTTCCCTGCAGAACTTCTTGTGCACAGGCCAATCTTTCTGCTGACAGTTCGTTCCGCAATACCTTGCTTCCTGTTAGGGGCCATGAATATGACGAATGTGTGAGGAATGGAATGTGACCTTGCTAAGACAGAAGAAATAAAGCCAAGTATTTTCACCTGACACCGTCCACAAATGCTGAACTCCCGGACTTCCTTTTCCATTTTTGTGCAGGGGGGGTAGTGGCATTCGTAGTAGCAGCTTGGTTCCTCAGTTTCCAATACTACACCGTTTGCGTTGTACAGCCGTCCTCCGGCAGTTCTCAGCTGCTGGGACACCAGGTACTGCAACGGGAACGTAACTCGCCAGTGTCGGCTTTAAAAGTGAAGTAGAAATGACAAAAACCTGAAGGCAAGTACCTCTTCTACTGGATCGACAGGGAGTTGCTGAATGGCCGCCCAATACAGGTTGCTCTGGCTGTCTTCTTTCTCGACCTCAGACCATTGTTTAACGTGAAGAGGGACCAGTACTAGGTTCTCCAGTCGGTTGTCCACTGTTACATTGTTCTTGTGAATCACCTTGAACCCCGGAGCTATCCCGCCCCGGTGTTTCTCCCTGTCAAAGGCGGCAGCAGCGTACAACGATGAAAAATGGTTCCGGAAACATCAAGATGGATGATGGTTCTTTCTTTCTTTTTAACTTAAAGGGAAACTCACCACAAGAGTTCGTGAACGTATTGGCCGGATGCTCGCCCCCGATTCATGTCATAGCAGTAGGCGAAGATCTTGGCGCCGTTCCCGTCCCGATCGATCTCCACCTTGGCCTCGAACGCGAAGTGCTGCACCAGACTGATGTCCCTCTCGTCGAGCAAGGCATATTTCGTCTGCACGGGGGCAAAGGGGAGGAAAGGGGTTTAAAAAAAAAAATTGACACATGTGGGGTGATGGGGGCGAGTTATCCGATGCGAACGGGAAGTCACGCCGGAACAGTCTGTCGAGGTCTATGCGAGGGAGCCATAACGGATGACAAAGGATCAAAAGGAGAGAAGATGAAGGCCTTTTTCTTTCAACAAAGACGAGGCGATCCGTTACGTTCTTTCTCTCTTTGTTCTTGGCATGTCACGAACAACTAGGACGATGAATCACGCATTCTCCGTTATCGAGAATCGACCCACCGGGTCATGAGAGCTGTTAACGAGACGGACAAGCGAAAAACGGTTCACATCCAATATCTCAACGAACCGAAATCTCCACTTATTCAGGTTAACGTATTCCTTCTTGGTCACCGCCTCTGACGAGATGATTTATGCGCTGCAGGGCATCCCAGTAAAGGTATTATTCGTGGTCGTGACTGTACTAGATTGGTAAAAACCCACTATGGCACGATGCAAAAAATTACTATCTTGACATCTTTAAATGCGGACGCTCGAACGGCACTAGCTACTCATATTTCGCAAACGTTGGGCGTCATAAAAATCTGTTTGCATCTTCGGCTGGCAACAGCGCCTCCAGCAAGTTTATCGTATCGAAATTTGTTTCGTTGAAACTATGCGACGGTTCCAGCATTAGAAGATAATGAGCAAATGGCCCTGACCATTTTTCCATCGAACTGTTACGCAACTTCGAAAATCCCAAACTATGAGACTCCCACTAGTGCATGATTCTGTAACACTACGACATCAACATACCAGCAATGCGAACGTTAACAAAATAAACAATGAATTTAGGACGTGTGAATGCGCAGCGTCCTCGTAGGACGTAGAAGCATCCTGTACACGCATACGCGAGGAGCAATGACCTGGGAATGAGGGTGTCCGATCCAAAGCACTCATTTTCTGACTCGTTTTGAGGACGCAACGTGCAATCGTGTAGGTCACGATTCCCCCCGCTCCCTCTCTCATATGCAAATAAGGACTAGAGGCGCAATTAGAAAATACCATATTGAAATTACAAAAAGAAACCGTTGCCGAGAGGTATGAGGTTGCAATCCGCTTCTACGGGGCTCCGTTCTTCGAGACAAGCAGAAATTCCTCTTTAACCAAGAGGTAATCACTCGCCGTCATCTAAATCCAACGAAGGGAGGCGTGAATGGCCTTTCCCTGGGATATCACACGACCGCCCATATTGCCCTTAAACCGGATTCACTGAAGCGTGGAACCACGGAATAGCCGGACCGTGAGGGGACTCGCACGGGGTGTTTCAAAACTGGGAACCGCATCGGTTCTTTCGTCATCCAAATCGCTCTCCGATATCAAGATCGAGATTTTCTGGTGGCTGGCGACCCCAACCACCGTCGTCAGCTGCGGAGAACAACGAGAGGGAAGCAGGTGGACCCGGGATACTTGCGAAAGACAATAATTACATGCGAGCGACATTTGTGGTCGTTGGTTTACCGGCTTTGGAGCACCCTGAGAAAGGAGAGAGAGAGTGAAGGCGTGAAAAGCGCTCTGTGAAATTTCCCCACGCCGTGCCAGGTGAGTGACCCGGGCGTCATCAAGAATGGCACGCACTTCTGGCAAATGGGCTGGAATTTAGATCGTTCTATTTCTGTGAGGGGAAGAAGCATGCGACTCGTGACAAAGTTCGTTCTTCCTGCAAGTGCACACTGAAATAAGGAAATTCCTCCACGCGATTCCTTCGCTCTGCTACGAGAATGTGGAATAGTTGACATCTTCATTTTTGCATTCATATCACCACTCGGGATGGAAGTGAGCTATGAGCCATGAAACTACGAAATGACCGCTGAGACCGTGAAAGCATGGAAACGAGTCCTGAAGAATGCCTGGAATTTAAAACAAATCTCGACCAACCGACGACGTACGTGACTGCCTCTCGCTCCGCATCCCACAGAACCTTTTCAACACGTGACACGACGTGAAAGGTAGTGTCACGGGGTCCCCGGGAATGGGGTTCACGTCCGAGTCCGACATGACGAGACGTTCAAATGAGATACCCACCGTTCCCGATCCTTGCGGCTCCCGGGGACGAGGAAGCGAATTGAAAGTCCGCAGGGGTCCGCTATCGGGTTCACGAGAAACGTGCCTGCTGAATCATCTAACTAAAGGCCAGGCCCATGACGCAATTCCAATTCAATGGCGAGTTATTACGCCTCCCTGCCTCTCTGTTTAGAAACCCTCGGCGGCTGACCAAAGGCACCCATGATCATGAGATCACGGTGATAGACCCGGACTCAAAGGACGCCATCAAAAAAGGGCGTGGCACGCTCACTAGGGCTTTTTCTTTACTTCGAGTCAAGCTCCTTACATCTCGATCTATTCCAGTGCAAGTAAAAGCATATCGCAGCGAAAAGGGAACGCAATCGCGATGGTGCTTTCCGAGTCTACGATTAATTCTGTTGGAATTGCGCTGCGACTGCACTGCACAGGCGACTGCACACGCCACATGCCATAGTTACATTGTGCAAGGTAAAAAACGGATAAGGGTAACTTTCACCGTGTGAAACCAACAACCGTGCACCAGACTAGAAAGACCCAGTTATTTCTCTTTCTTCCTCAGAGTCCCCCGCGACGCTGTTTGACACGGAGCAGGAATGACAAAGAACCGTCATTATTCATCGATCCCCCATTTTGGAGTGTTCCCCGAGACGACAGGTAATGTCGACACGAAGCCCAGCACGTTGTGCGAGACCACCCAATACTGAAGCTTGATATTCGAAGGGCGAAACAGGAATCCCGTTGCGTGCGGGGATGCCCGATTTAACCTGCCATGCGCAGATGACCTTCGACTGGGTACGGTTATATCTGACGAAATTACCATCTCGAACAACGGGCGAGAGTGAAGGTTGGCCGAAAAAAGGGCGAGGTCACGTGCAAGCATATTAAAGCAATTACCATTGAAGGTGTTAAACGCGCGGGAAGAGCCACGAGACATTCACAATAGCAGCGTTGAGAAATCGAGCTCTGCCGCTATTGCAGCCCTACGCTTATTACCAGACGGAAGCCATTTCATACACTGAGGCGTATTCGTCCAGTTGCCAACGCAACATCAGCCAACGCTTTCCGGGAATCCCCGCTCCCCTCCCTAACTCGTGACGAACGAGGAAAAGGGCGATCCCTCAGAACCGACGAGGAAAGCACCGACTGATGGACTGAGGAGGAAAAACGAGTGGAGGAATCGATGCGTGACATAAAGGATCTTCTGTGGGGCGCGGGACGGATTGTCGACAAGTGCATGCCAAGGCCAAGGTTGCCAAGCTCGAGAACTCAGTGACCGGACCGAAGTCTGGAAAGTCGCCAGGGGGAGGTGGAACCTGTACACGACGAACATTTTCTGCTTCTCTCCCATTCCCATCTAATTTCATTCTCTCCCCCCCCCCCGACCACGACTCGATATGCTCTCTGGCCCTCTGTAGAGACCATTTCTCGTTACTGGCTCTGGGACTTTCGAACGCACCCGAGCAGATCGGCGATCGAAGACCATGCAAATGCGATTGAGAAACAAGTACGGCACGGAGCAGGTGAGATGTTGCAAGGGTGAAAGTGCAACGAGAGCAAGTCACTCCGTGGAAGCTACTGCATCGTTCTCCCTTCCCTATCTGGACTGGCACGACTTGTGCAATCTCCTTTTAAATTGATGGAAAGGCGCTCATCACGAACCCCATCTGGTCTCTCGATGAGAACTACCTTCGACAATCGAGGTGGCAGAGGCCATTGCTGTGATTATGATGACGAGGGGCTCATCTAGTCTCTTGCATCATACGTCTGAATCGAATTCAACCTTTGTAAAGAGAAAGGGGTTAGAGGCGGGATGAGATGCGCATATCTCTATGCTTTATCTGTATCGTCATTCGCCCTAGGCATCCACGTTTCTAACGCCCCCGCTAGGTACTCCCTACGAGGACAGGACGTCACTTCGGGCTCTCTCATGCGTATCGGTCGCAACGAAACAAAGCACCCTGGCGAACAAGAAGAGAATGAGGGGGCGAGCTCGCGAGCATGGCATTGCATGCCTAGGTAACGATCAAAAGGTTCATGGCTCCTTCAACACGTGGTAAAGCCCCGGGGCAGAGGATGTACGGACTGAGACCGAGGGGAGGCCAGACAAAGACACCGGACGACCCACCACCCGAACGGTATGAGGGAACGGACAGCTGATGCAAGGGCCCCCATCTCTCAGTGGAACGAGGAAACAGGCTTCCTAGCCTCTGGGCGAATTCGAACGCGGCCTGACTGGATGCTTCTGGAAAAGCTACCACCCTATCGAGCCTCCAGATCGCATTGATTATTAATCGAGTAACGGTTCAAGCAGTGCTGTGTCACACCTATTTCCTATAACCTATATCTGCAATGCGTCGACGATATATCCCGATTCCGGTTCCGCATTCATGAATTCGAGAACCGCAATCTCGGTAGTACCACTTTGATGAAATTGCCACGACCGACTGAGGGGGGAATGAGTGGGAAAAAGAAAGGCACCGAAAATGAAGACGATTAACTCACTTTCCCAGCAGCTCTTCCGAGACGAACGATGCCCAACTTGAGGCCTGTCAACGGAGGAAGAGTGCTCTGGAGCGGATTTTGCGCTATCTTCATAATCTCCCTAGATGACCACAGGATACGGATTCACTCATGCACACACGCAGAGACACGGAGAGAAGAAAGGGAGTGAGAAACAAGGCCCGCGCTGGCTTCTCGTCGCTATCCCTCCATTCACTGGAGTCAGTCAATGTCCTCAAAAAGACGAGGGGAGCGAGGAGAGAGAGGAACCGCGCGAGCGCGAACAGGAGTGCAGTGCCTACCCCGAGATGGAGAGAACCGAACGGCCGAGAGAAGAGCGGAGAGTGAAGCAAGCGGCCGCAGCCCGCCGGGTCAAAATCCCCCTTCCTCTTTCCCATGCTGCAGCTGGCGCATTCCCCCCGACCTCTGTCAACCGGCAGGGAAAACACCACGTGTTTCCCACTCCCATCCCCCCTTTACTCCTCCCATCCGCTCTTCTTTCGTCAGGTAAAATGAAGAAAAAACAAATTACACGGAACCTTGAAACTCCCCCCCACAACAGAAAAAACCCTGCTTCACGGCAACCCTGGCTGTAACAGGAGGCTCAAAATAGACGTCCACTCCAAAGCACGCATTTGTTAACCGGGCGTGAAGCCGATGCTCTTTTCGAAACACTGTCCTTCTCTGAGATGTCGACTAGTCCCCCTGAAAGCATTTCGCTACCTTGGTACAACTTGGGAATTCCAGATCTGCTTTGGAGACTGGAGTGCTTTTCCATAAATATTTCCCAACCCCCCACAGCCAGGGATTTATCAAAGAAGCTCCAAATCGTAAACCACAACATTGATGACAGGTGAAGGAAAAAAAGTAATCTGTTAAGCATGGTAAGCTGTTGCTAACCAGTCTACGGGCTGCCAGCATTTGCATTAGCACAATTGCATTGAAGTTACAACTACATTCTTTGTGTTGGTTGTCAACGAATGAAAACAATAAATCCCCACATTCCGCAGAGGCATTCAGAGTTAACGCTCGGAACGTTCTGGATTGTGTGTGTGTGTGTGTGTGGGGGGGGGGGGTCTCGGTAAATTCTACCGGAATATGACAAAAAAGGGATTCCTTGACTTTGAACCCAGACGTCTCTGCTCTTACCGTTTCCCGATTGAATTCGTAGCCTCCTACAAGAGCGCCCCCATCGATTGCAGGTAGTGACATCTTACACATTGGGTGGTCACTGCGTTGCGTCACCACGTTACGTTCCGCTTCATCACCTGATGAAGCGGAACCTCTGGAAATTTGTGTTTTCCCCATTCTCCACTATAGTGGGTGGTACGAATTCAATCCAGAAACAGGCTATATAATAAATTTAAAAAATCGTGCATCGCGGAAAGGCCGCCATGTGCCACACCAATTCATAATTTCAAAGAAATCCATATTTTTGAAGCAAGGCTGATCAATTATTAAAAATAAATTGAAAATGGGCAGAATGTTCCAGTCCCTTCGATTTACTTTGCTAGGCCATCTCCTCCTTAGTAAACGACATGTCACAAGCACATATGATACAGAATAGACTGGATGGACCAGATTAAATCTAGTAGGGGCAGGAGGGATGGTAGCCAAGCGAGCGTGAGGAAATGGCAGATTGTACTGAAATTATAGGGAGTTGGAAGCAGGAGTCGCTCCAGGGAAGGGAAACATCCCCCTCCCCACCCCCTCAAAAACTGTTTGTTAGTTCAAGCGCTTGAGCCTCTGTGAATCTCCGGGGGTTCCATCTTCGCTGCAAGTTTGCTCCACTAACCCCCTCTACTCTCCTGCCCATGACATCCCCCCCACCACCGCAGACTGAGAAGCTGGAGCTATCCCTGGTTGGTAGTGCCCATGAGAAACTTGAATAGTGATGAGAGGAGGTTTTACTGCCATGAGTGTGGCATAAGTCTGAGAGACATACAGTACTTAATACAATGGAGGCTTGGTATGAAAAGATTTACTAAGATAGTTTCAATCAGCCAGACGCTGGTTTAATCTTTTTTTAAAACAAAATTTGGTTTTATATAAATCATCAGGGGCAGTATTCTATTCAAATCTTATATTTAAGTAAAGCAAATTGCTCAACCTCAGACATACATTTGAATGGGAAAAATAACAGCTAAGCACCTTGCTAAGAGGGGAATCACACTTTAGAAAATAATAGAATACTGCCCCAGGATGCTTCAGACAGTTCATGAAGTATGTAGGTGCAGTTGTAGTAATATATTTGAGAGTGAATTATGCTATTTTTGATAGATAAGATCAATTATCATTCTACTAAATGAAAGAAAAGGCCAGAAGTGTGGATCTTCTACATTTGAATATTAGAGGAGGAATATTGAGCAAGATATTTATAAAATTCAACTAAGGCCTGAGAACAGCTGGGAAGCACAATACCTGACATGAAGAAAACAATTCAAGATCAGAATAGGTCGCCATGCAATGGAGGT